ACTCTTATTCCTATAAACAAGGATCAATTCAGCCCATTACAAAACCGTTCTTGTTTGTTCCAATATATTATACGAAAGGAGTTAAGAGATGTGTCAAAGTCTTTGTTAAATTCCTTTTTAGTTGTAGAGAAATTTTCAGGTTAAAAATGTCGACTCCTCTAAAACAGCTTATATATCTGCAATTATAAAGAAATCAATAAAAATAAACAATATTTATTACAATTCCTATATGTGACCACATGTTGAACTTTTCTACCTCAATTAAACCAGTTTTAATAAAAAAAAAAATCTAATAATATGTGTCGGGTTAAGTTACGGTCACTACCATATAACCAAAAGCGTGTACAACGAACGTAAAATGATATTACTTATAATTTGTATGAATATCTCACTATCTCCTGTAATTGTATCCATAACATGATATTTCATTTTTTTATACACTGGCATGTTTGTTTGAACTTTCTTTGTATTTTAAAATGAATTGCTTCATCCTTTATCTTTTACTTAATTGTTCTAAACTGTATAGCGTTGTGTTGTTTTACAACTTTTTACTCAATTAACGTTTATCTATTTCTGGCTTCCAAAACGTTTCGTCTCAAACTTGGTATAAATATCCAAGACGTTCTTGTGCGCTCTAAATTCGGTATCATATGTTAATTATGTTAAGTATGCAAAACTACGAAGAAGAAAAGCTTTCATATTTGCAGATGGTGTTCAAATAAAAAAGAGAATGGGAACAAGGAACAACATGCATTGAAAAGATAATGTTCAAGAAATAATTCTGCATATATATATATATATATAATTTTCGCTGTTTGTGATAATTTTAGGAATATAACCTTCCGCCATACGATATCACTTTGCTCTTTGGGCTAGTTTGTTCGTTGGCTTGCTTTGAGTTAAATTGAAGATTTCATTTTGGTACTAAAACAGAGAAAAAATACAGAAGCATTATTTTTATGCAGACGATGATAGATTATTTAATCAAACTATCATTTATGTAATTAATACCACTGGGTCGTTATTCCTGCTGGTGGACTGTTAGACCCCGAGGATATTACCAGCCCAATAGACAGTACATCGGTACTGTCATGAAAATACGGATATTGTGTTATCAAAATTTGCTATTACAAAATTTTGGAAATTATTTAAAATTAAAGAATATATCTCTCTCATGCAAAGCTCTGAATCTTTGGCCAGCTTTGACTGTACTTTTCTGTTATTTTTGGTTAATCAGCTTTTATGTTTTCCAATTATTTCATAAGATAAAGTTTCATATAGCTTCTTATACGGTATTGGTTTTATTCATTGTTGAAGGCCGCACGGTGACCTATAATATTTTTACATCCTTGTCCTTTGGTGGATAGTTGTCTAATTGGCAAGCAAACAACATCTTTTTATTGTTATATTGTTGGCATAGTGACTCACATGTTTGCTTTTCTGTAAGTGGTGTATGTGTTTTATCTCACTGTAATTCCCTTGTAGGAATAGTGCCTCCAATGTTTTTTTCGTGCTTTACATTATCTGTAGGCAAAGTGCTGCATGTGCCTTTTTCGATTTTCGAACTCCAACGAATATTCAAAACGGAAAGTCGCTTATCAAATGGCAAAATCAAAAGCTTAAATACATCAAACGAATAGAAAACAACTGTCATATTCCTGACTTGGAACAGGCATTTCCTTATGTAGAAAATGGTGGATTAAACATGGTTTAATAGCTAGCTAAACCTCTCACTTGTGTCGAAAACCCATTATGTCTGTTTGTTTTGTTCACACATTGTTGTCAATGTAATAGAATTTTATGCGACTGTCATTCAAGTGAGAGGTTTAGCTAGCTATAAAACCAGGTTTAATCTACCATTTTCTAGATAAGGAAATACCTGTTCCAAGTCAGGAATATGACAGTTGTTTTCCATTCGTTTGATGTGTTTGAGCTTTTAATTTTGCCATTTGATAAAGGACTTTCCGTTTTGAATTTTCTTTGGAGTTCTGTATTTTTGTTATTTTACTTTATTTTTGTGTTACAGTCGCATAGAATTCTATTATATTGACAACAATCTGTGAGCAAAACAAACAGACATAATAGGTAAAAATTTCAAAAATTGGGGTACAGCAGTCAACAGTTTTGTTATAATCTTAATCAATATAAAAAAAAAACAACTATGTCAACAAAGAAAAAAAAAAGGTTTCTAGTCAGCAATCATATGATCATTCTTAGTCCAAACGCAACAGTATTTGCTGGGACATACGGATAATTGTATTCATTTTTATTGCCCACGAGTTATTTGAAAAAAAGGCACAAGGCATGCAAAGGCGGAGTGCTGTGAGCTCTAAAAACCGGTTTAATCCCACAGGCACTTGTCTCTGTAAAAAAGACATGTTGTAAACAAGGAAGAGATTATCCACCTATTCTTATTTTCGACAACGATAATTATATTTTGATTCTTTGGAGGAAAACTATTATTGAAAATATCCGTATTACTTCTTTCTAGTGATTTATGTAATTTATTATTGCAATTGTTCATAAAATAGCAATTTAAAACAATGGTTGGAAGTTGTCTAAGCAATAAAACAGCTGGTTTATTAGTTTGTGCATTGTACAAAATAGTCATAACAGTGTTCCATTTTTACATAATCATTGTTTATATAAATGACATTTGAATGTAACATTTACAACTCAGTCGTTTCTGCTAGCTATACGTTTACTCGTTATGAAAATATTTGAATGTCTAGGAATTATTTGTATCCTTTGAAGATAATAAATTATCTATGTTTGTACAGATCTAAATTTGCTGCTGTCTATAGAACTTCTATCAAAAGTTCAAAAAAATAGAATAGGTTTTTTTCTATTTTTTTATAGGATTATTTTTGCATAAACTGGAGATGTTTGTGTGCTTATAAACAGAATTTATATTTTTGTTTTATCTTATTAACAAAAATTACCAGTTTGGTAAATTTTGTTTGAAATTCCCATACAGAGTACAGATTTGTCTGTCAAACTCCTCTTAAAGTTTATTTCTTCAATATTTTAAAGAAAATACTAGTTGTTCAACTTTACCATAATTGGTGTATATTTTCGTACAAGATACATGGTTTGTCCATTTAATTCTTCGAACATTTTATAATCTTGAACCTTTACATTTTAAAGAAGAGTTTTTAATATACTGAAGGTGTGCATATAAAAACACCATAGATACCAGTATTAGAATTGTGTACGCCAGACGCGCGTTTCGTCTACAAAAGACTCATCAGTGACGCTAGAATAAAAAAAAGTTAAAAGGGCCAAATAGGTACGAAGCTGAAGAACATTGATGACCCAATATTCAGAAAAGTTTTGCCAAACACAGCTAAGGTAATTAATTCCTGGGGTAGAAAATCCTAAGTATTTCGAAAATTTTTTGTAATAGCCTCGGAGATGAAAACCTTTATCAGCAGTGACATCGACCCAGTGGTTGTAAATAAACTCATAATAGATACCAGGATAAAAAAAATTTAACGCAAGACGTGCGTTTCTTCTACAAATGACTCATCAATGACGCTCGAATCAAAAACGTTAAAAAGGTTCAGCTTTAATTATTTCCCTCATTTGTTTATCCTAAAATATACTAATTGATGAACGTCATATTTTAGGTAATTTCTCATGCAGTTTACATAGTTTGTAGAAATTCATACATTCTACATCGAAATGTTATTAATACCACATGAACGAAAGGTATATGTGTCAAAAAGACATAAAAGATTATTACATTTGATTAAAGTCGTAAGGTTTTTAAATATAATACTATAGAGCTAGATTTGTTTCTGTCAAAGTGTCTAAGGAGCAGATAAATAATTTGTTTATTGTATTTTTTTTATGTTTCTTTTATCAAAGAAAAAAATGGGGGATCCTAAAAACTAGTTTAACTCGGCAAAATGAATGTGCCTTTTCCAAGTCAGAGGAATTGGTCTCACTAGTAGTCTAAAAAAAGAAACAAGTTCACAAAATACTATATTTATACATAAAAAACAAAAGACTGACCAACACGAACCCCACCGTTTTTGTTACTTAGAGAATTTGGTGTTGATGGCAGATCTTTCATATTATTTTTGTTTGTTTGATACTTGCATTCATTTGTTTGACTTAATTGCTTGAAATAGTGTCCGAACACCTACCTGTGCATTGTTATAAACTGATGACCCCTAGATGTCTTTTGGTTATTTGAATCGTTAGGCTCGCGGATAAGATAAAAGTACCATCATTATGCGCATTCACAAATATTTCCTCTTATTATCTAGATGTCACACTGAACGTACATCAGATGTCTGTATGTAGATTCAAGGTTCCTTTGAGAAATTAGTGAAAATTTAAAAAGGGTCCAATTATCAGTATGTCCCAAAAATACTACCGTGGTTCGACTAGGAATGATCGCGAGAAAGTGATCTGGTTTGTCAGATGATTGTTAACTAGAATTGATACGTACATGTAAAATATCTTATGGTTTGATGATTGTCTTTCCAATTACAAAATTGACAATATAGATTAAAAGAAACATAAAACTACATCTGATCCGCTTATATTATCATAATCTGTAATCTTATAATATTAATAGTTTATGGTACATAATCAAGACAATAAAATGAAGCCATTTAAATATAATAATACACACAATACATTAATAAACTATGTTCCCATTATAACAATAGTTTTCTTCACATAAACGAAAGAAAAATATACAGATTTGTCACGCAACTACATTTCCCCCTGAAAACGTATTTATACAGATTGTGTTTTTCGTATGGAATTTTATGAATGACATATTTATTGTGATACATTCAATTTTTGAATCCAATTTATACTCTTATGTCAAGTAAGATACTAAACATTTAAATTGCAATTTAAAAGCAACGAGCGTGTACCACTCCAATAACTTGATACATCAGAAATTCAATCTTTACACGACGAGTTGTAAGTAACACTCACGTCCCTATCAAATAAAAATCTGATGGTTCTTGATTAGCACAACAGACAAAATTCTGTTATTTAATCATCTTAAATGAAGTACATATCGTAATCCTATTACATACTACAGGATAAAACATGGACCATATGTTTTATTCACAAGTTTTGACTATTACTTAGATTCAGACAAATCAAAACGGACAACTAACTATCTTCCAAAGATGGAAAGTGACGGCTCAAGGCAATGAATTATATGAAAAAGGGCAATTTATTTACAAAACTAATGAATAGTGTTCGATTTTCACTAGAACCGGATATTAGTTGTATTTGAAATATATCAGAAATGAACCATTTGTATACAAACTGAAAATTTCTATCAATTTGAAAGCTTGAGGTGTTGTTTTTGCAACATTGACAGTTACTGACATGATGGAACAATGCAATATGTCAAACTAACACTTTTTAAGTACCAAACAATAGATACACTTTAATGTATTTATTGTGGTCAAAAACTGCGACCAAAAGAAAAAGTGCGATATAAGTTGTCCACAACAGGATATATCAATTCTCTGTCCATTATCTGAGTTTAGCTGGACAGGTATTTCCGTACTTTTAACAAACTATATTGGATTTTGGTAAGAATGTATCTAGGAATTAAGTTAATACGACAAAATCCTTTCTATATGTTTTAATGTGTTTTTCGAAAGAAGTGACAGCTCTCCTGGTAGACAGCGTTAATTGCCAAGATGTAAATTATAGCTGAATTGCGTTAAATGCATAATAAGTTAGCTTTAAAAAGGAAATAATGGACTCTGATGAAAATAACCTAGGATTATACAATCTTGTTCAGAACGTGTGGGAATATTACAAATATCGTTTGCTGCATCTGTCGTCTGCTTCTGGCGAAAAGCTGAAGAGTTCTGTTGACGATGACGTCTTTGGTAAGTTTATTTTGATAGAAGTTATGATATAAACACCGATACAGTAAGTATTTATCTTCCTTTTTATCTGCAAAAGTTCAGTTTTAGAGTATAAAAGGTAAAACTAGATATATTGCTTTCGAAGGCACTGTCAAGGTAAAATTATTCACGATCGTTCGATTAGCTTTTCAATCCGATACAACTTCAAACATGTGAAGTGATATACTAGAGTCGATTTGATATAACAGGTATACTAAAAATTGTTGATAATAAACGAATATTTATTCTAACCTCACGAACAGTGGAGTTGTTTATGGGAGCTTTATTTTTTCAAACATAACCATTCTGAAATTTATAGATACAGTAATGCAAAACACTTACAACAGTTGTCACTGAATTCTACAAAAATAATGGGATTACTTCTAATTGAATATTTCCAATTTTTTTTAAAACAATATCATAGAAAAATAATGAGGATTGGGGATAATTTAATGTAATGATTAAGTAAAACTTGTTTGTAATATAGAAGAAATGTTTACTTTATAAAAACTAGTAATATTTAACGAATGTTACCGATGGAGTTCCGAATCACGTATTTCTGAAGTACATTTTCATCAAAGAAACACAAGGGATATGGTGTATCCATTCATGATACAAAATGAGTACATGCACAACATAAAACAGACAGTAGTCTTCATAAGAAACGCTTCTAACTTACTTTTCGGATCTCCAAAACCAAAACGTAACATATGCACATCAATCTATATGCATGCATATAGACACAGAATCAATTAGCAAACCATAACTTTTTTACGGAGGTGTTGCTGTAGCATTTGTGTATATTCCAAATCTCCTTTTATTTAGTATATGTATGCACAGATCATTTCAAGATCTGGAAGTATTGCTATCTGTCTACTCTCATAGAAAATGAACTTGATCGTGCAGCCATTATTTAAAATGTGTTTGGAGTCTACTTTCACGTGCTACGTGAAAAAAGATTTAAAGTTCGAATCCTTGTTTTGCATAAAGAATGAAATTGTTTTTATATTTTCTTGACATACCAAAATCTTATGTGTCATGCACTGTTGAATTAAACCTATAGTTTTCAGGAATTTAAGCCAATTCGGTGTTCATGTAGCTAGTTCGAATCTATTTACATTTGATAAGATAATAAACTTATTTCCACATATAACCGAATATATACAAATATCTCATTTTAACATAAGAAATTATAAGGGGGAAATATGTGGTGGACGTTTAGCTGGACAGATTGTACCATTCGTTTTTACTCATGTTCCTGATATAAGTATCAGGGAAAACATTCTCAAGTCAATTGTTTTGTCATTTTTATACTCATGTATTATTCCTATTTAAATAAATTGATTTAAAGTAAACTAGCTCGAGTCGAAGTTTTAGGATATAGATAACACACATTCTAATATCTAAGAGTTTGAAGTTCCCGTATCCCGCAATATTCTGACTTGATCAAAAGTTGACTTGTCACTTTTTCGAAGGTAATAGGATTGTGGTCCTGAATTACAGAATCAAACTCTGCTGCTTGATAACATGCATATCATAGGTTTGGGTCTATCAGAGATTTTTATTGATCGATGTCCAACTGTAAAAGAAGCTACATGTAAGAAGTTGGGCTTCTCTTTTGTAGTAAACAGCATTCCAGTGATCAAGAACATTTGTTTTTAATTAGCAATACAGCAAGAACGAGCTGAACCTTTACTATTAGAAAAAGTAATTAATAAAAGGAAATAATGGGTTGTGAATAAATCAAAGAGAAACTATTAAAGATCTGCCATCAACACTATATTCCAATAAAGTATACTGTTTCCTTTTTTACGACAGGAAATGCTATTTCATATACCGAAAAGAATACCAAGTATCACATAACTTTTATATTTTCTCATTACTCAAAATAAAATTTATAACCACAACGTTTCAGCTTCCCAATTGTGAACTTTCCATTTCTATGTAGCAACATTCCAGCAGCACCTGCATATTGAGTATATATATCTCTCAATTGATAAAGATATTCCTATCATGATTTCTTTGATATAGTGTTGCTGCTTACACAGAAGCTATCATTCCTTCGCAAATTTTACGGACGCCATCACGAGTTGGTTGACCGTTATGGAATATCTGTTTCACAGACGACGACGGATATCTTTTAATTGTCGTAACCACATTCCCGTCCTCAATTCCTCGAATGTGACCTACCGAATAGACTTATTACCGGATTTGTACTTACATGAGCAACACGACGGGTGCCATATGTGGAGCATGATCTGCTCAGCCTTCCGGAGAACCTGAGATCCCCCCAGGTTTTTGGTGGGATTCGTGTTGCTCAGGTTTTAGTTTTCTTTGTTGTGTTTTGTGTACTGTTTTTCTTTTTCGTCGTTTTTTGCTTTCTGCCAAATCATTGTCAGTTTTTTTTTCCACTTATGAGTTTGAATATTCTTTTGATATCTTTCGCCTCTCTTTTGAAATTGGTATCCAAATACAATGTATAATTATTATGGTCAAATTGACTGCTCCAGACTGAAAGTAAGACCTATGCTAAGAGACGTCCGTTTTTGTCGTATGGGATGCTTAAGGGGTGCATAAGTCATTCACGTTAATATAACAACTGCATATATCCTCTTAGTCATTACAACAGTGTGGTATAGCCATCTGTTAGTGGTTACTGCATAAGTTTATTGTGACCCTTTGTCAATGGCGATTGTTAAATCTTACAACGGCCCTCTCAAACTCGGGAATAGAGGTATGCTAATCCCTGGTCACTCCCATCCCATCGACTGTAAACTCCATACTAAACAGGAGCGTTCGTTATGCTATGTGCGATGTATGAATATGCAGTCACGTCCGGTCGTGATGTAAATGTTAATCTGATGCCACGTGAATGGAGAGTGCCTTGCTCTCTGCACGTCAAAGAACCCTTGCAATACTTTAGTGACCCTTTAATGGGTCCCTAGGCAGCCTGTTGTAATGCAAACTGTCTGTTTGTTTCCAACATACCCTTATTATTCAGTGGGAATCGAAGTTGCCGCGCTACATTGTTAATGAATTTGAAAAAACTGATTAAAAGTTATTGCTAGGAAAATCTCTTAATATATGGATGTAAATGTCATATTGAAACCAAGTTTAGTAAAAACGTTAACGGTATACACCTCAAAAATATTTCAAACAGTTTATGTGAATGACAAATCTTTTAGTTTTTTACTTTATTATGTCTGGCAGTGGTGTAGTTGTGTGTTAAAAGAATCATTCATATAATACATAAATCGAGTGAAACTGAAACAAAGTTAGTCAATTGATGTAGGTACATTCGCTTTGTTTATCTTATCTAATAAATGTAAAGTACACTCTTTTAGATTAATTGTTTCATGGTTCTGTAAAGTTTAAACAATTCATATCATTGGTGTTTAATTAATTTGTGATTTATCAGCTAGATCTACAAAATCTGTAAAGTTTACGCAATTCGTATCATCGGTGGTGCTTAATTAATTTGTTATCAACCATCGCCAAAGATTGTATGAAATACGCAACTTTTTCTGCACGTGGCTTACATGTATATATAAAGGGTAAACATAAGTTAGCTTTAAAAAGTAAATAATGAACTCTGATGAAAATAACCTAGGATTATACAATCTTGTTCAGAAGCTGTGGGAATTATACAAACATCGTTTGCTGCAACTATCGTCTGAGTTTTGCGAAAACCTACAGTATTCTGGTGACGATGACGTCTTTGGTGAGTTTATTTTAATACAAGTTATAATATAAACACCGAAAAGGTTAGCTTCTTTTTCTGGAAATGTTCAGTTTTAGAGTATAAAAGGTAAAAGCAGATATAATTTCTTTCGTAAGCATTGTCAATGTAAAATTGTTCGTGATCGTTCGATTAGTTTTTCAATTCCATACAACTTAAAACATATGAAGTGTTATACGAGTTTCGATTTGTTTTACGAGGTATAATAAAAAATGTTGATAATAAACGGATATTTATTGGAGCTTCATGAAACAGTGGAGTTGTTTATAGTGACTTTATTTGTTCAATCATAAACAATATGAAATTTATAGTTGCAGTAATGCCAAACACTTACAATGGTTTTCTTAAAACTATACAAAATAGGATTAACTATGGCGTACGGAAAGGGTCAAAAGTAAATTATTTCGCATATGCTACAGTTAATACAGCATATGCTATATAAACTACAGCTTAAGCTATAATTTATGTACCATATGCTGTAATTAATGTCGCTTAGGCTATAATATATAGCATTGGCTGTAATTTATACAGCATATGCTATAATTAATACAGCATATGCTATATTAAATGCAGCCTATGCTGTAATAAATAGCATCTGCAGCTTAAGCGTCCAGTTGACGTACCATAAGGGTCAAAAGAAAATACAGATTACGCTATAATTGTTGAAACATGTACATTATTTACATTTAAGTTATAACAGTCCCGAAAGGGTCAAAAGTAAATGTAGCATAAGCTGTATTGTGCCATATAGTTATAAGGTGGGGTTACTGTCAATCACAAATGATTCTATTATATATTTACTGTCAATCACTCTTCAACTTTGAAGGTTATTCACAAATTAGGATAACGCCCATCAGAACCACATTTTGTTTAGGATGGGCGAAAATTAAAGAGCATTATGATTTAAGTAATTGATAGTCGAGTTCAGAGAGTTAATGAAATATTCGGAATATTTACATGAAATTATATCATGCTTATCTTAGAATTATATTTAAGGTAGCACAATACAAAAGCAACTAAATTTTATCAAAATTTAATTTTCATCTGTTTTTGTTACTTCTTTTAACAATTAATCTTGCTGATGTTTATACTAGAATTTCTTGAGGATAATGTAATAAATATGAATTCTTATTAAAAGAATTAAATATTTCATTTTCAAACTGCAAAAATAAAAAAAAATATACTTGGAGTAAAACACCATATTGTCATTGTATACAATATATATTTCTAGAAATCCCCCATA